TTAACCATATTCAACACACATTTTTTATTGTTTTGTGTGAACACCGAGGCCATCGTCGGCGAGGGTGAAAAGAAGTATAAGCGGCAACACAAATATGATACCTCGCAAAAATAAAGGAGATGGACCTATTGTGGTCTTGAGTGATGGTTGTTGAGTTAAGAGCATGTGTTATATTTTCTCTCCCGTTGCAACGCACGGACTCTTTTGCTAGTATATCTCTACTTCCTAATTAAAGAAGGAGTTCGTACGTGGTTCGTTTGTGTACTCCCCGATCGATTCTCCCACCGATGAACAAGGTTAGGTTGGTTCGATCTCCTCCTGTTTCCGCTTTTCTCCTGTGATTTTTTATCCTTACCAAATAAAACATCGTTCCAGGCTTCCAGCCTCTACTTCTCCCTTTACAACCTGCGCGTCACGGCTAGGCCATTCACCAGCCACACGCCGCTGCCGCCGCCACGATTTTGCTCCCACGCTGCCGCCGTCTCGCTCGACCGCTGGCAACACCGCACGCTATCTCCGCCACTCCCGCTCGCACGCGACCTCACCCTCCAACAGACCGAGCAGTGGCGACAGCGGCTCGTGGCTCCCGCCGCGCGCTCCTCGTCCTCTTGGAGATGGAGCTCTGGGAGCTCGTGTCAACATCGGCCAGGTAACCAGAATCTGCTTGGCGCCATCCCACCTTTAATATGCACCGGCATGTCCCCAAGACGCACGCCGCCCTGCAGGTCTTCTAGCGGTTCCGCGGCTGCTGCGACGCCCTCCGTGATCCTCGTTACCTCGTAGCAGGCCCGCCGGAGGCCGTGCTAAGCCTCTAGACATAGCGGAGCTTTTCGGCCGTACTCCCTTGCCGAGAGGTGCTCTGGCCATGGAGTAACGCACACCACCTGTCCGATGGCTTACCGCACAAGATGTATCAAGCTTTTTTTCGTTGACATTATTTTTCAATGAATTGCAGCAATGGAGCACTGCTTCAGATTTGATCGGGTGCTACTTCGTTAACTGGACAACAAACTGATATACGATTTAAAAGGTAAATAAGCCATTGCGCTTGTGTAGGCGTTAGAACTTTCAGCGCTAAGATTACCAACAAGCAGCTCCACGAGAGACAAGGTGCTTTTGTTCTTTACAATACACACTAACATAAATGTTATGCAAGTTGATTTCTATTCCTATATGATATCTGGGGTCTTCATGAATCCCTGCCTACAACTTTTGAATTAAGAATTATGTATCTGTTGATCTTGTGCAGGTTTCGGTTGTCGTTCCGGTGGCGTGTAGGGCAGCTGGAGATGCTGACATTCACCCTGTGCGCGTCACAAATTTTAGGTGAATTGTTCCTTTGGTCCTTGTACTTTCACTCGTAGAAAAAGTGTCTGTTGTCCCGGTTCGTAAGGGCCTTTTGTCCCGGTTCTGAAACCGGGACTAAAGGGTCGGTACTAATGCCCTGTTCCTTTAGTCCCGGTTCAATCCAGAACCGGGACAGATGGGCCTCCACGTGGCCTGTGCGCGGAGCCCAGGCAGGAGACACTTTGGTCCCGGTTGGTGGCACCAACCGGAACCAATAGGCATCCATGCGTCAGCATTTTTGTAGCTGGGGATTTTGTTTTTTTTTTTTGAAAGGGGGAGGGTTTGGGGGGTTAATTTAGGTGTTTCATATATTGTGTTAGCTAGCTATAATTAATAGAGAGAAGTGTCCTCTCTTATGTCCGTGTTTGGTCGACGCTACGTACTATACATATGTATAGAGAGGACTAGACACGCTAACTAGCTAGTAAGCAAACGAAGGAAACAGAAGATCGTCATGAACATATATGCATACAGAGAGAAGTGATATCGACCACCTCTCCTTCTCCGAGAGATTGGTCGAACAACAAGTTCTCGTATATCTATCCGACACTACCGGCTACATATATATAATAATTATCTCTTACAAATATAATCATACGGACTCAGGGTCCACATAGTATTCTCCGTCTTTAGGGATCACGTGGTCAAGAAAGAATGCCGCCAATTCCTCTTGAATTGCTCGCATGCGAGCTGGTGCTAGGAGTTCATCCCGCTTTTTGGTACAAAGTTCAGCAAGAACCTTCCAAATATCGTTATTTGGAAGGCCTTTGCTGAAATTCATACAAAAAGGCAAATTATCCTATTCGGGACACCATTCCAAAATAACTTTGGAGGACTTCATCATGCCCTGGTTACTTCCGGCTAATGATGAAGCCATGGATTTCTTTAATACTTTAACACTAGAAAACCTCTCTCGACCCCTCGGCGATCCTCGACCCCTCGAACCCTCGACGACCCTGGAACCCTCGACCCCTCGGCGATCCTCTTCTTCCTCTCATGTTCGAGAGGATCGCCGAGGGGTCGAGAGGTTGCCTAGTGTCAAAGGATTCAACAAAACCATGTCTTCATCATTAAGCGAAAGTAACAGGTGCATGATGGTACGAAGCTCTCCAAAGTTATTTTGAAACGGAGTCCTAGATAGGATAATTCGCTTTTTGGTACAAAGTTCAGCAAGAATCTTCCAAATATCGTTATTTGGAAGGCCTTTGCTGAAATTCATACAAAAAGGCAAATTATCCTATCCGGGACACCATTCCAAAATAACTTTGGAGGACTTCGTCATGCCCTGGTTACTTCCGGCTAATGATGAAGCCATGGATTTCTTCAATATTTTGACACTAGGAAACCTCTCTCGACCCCTCGGCGATCCTCGACCCCTCGAACCCTCGACGACCCTGGAACCCTCGACCCCTTGGCGATCCTCTTCTTCCTCTCATGTTCGAGAGGATCGCCGAGGGGTCGGGAGGTTGCCTAGTGTCAAAGGATTCAACAAAACCATGTCTTCATCATTAGGCGAAAGTAACAGGTGCATGATGGTACGAAGCTCTCCAAAGTTATTTTGGAACGGAGT